AATCTGGTAAATGGAGAATGGTGATAGATCTGAGAGCTGTCAACAAGATAATTCAACCTATGGGCCCTCTACAATCAGCAGTTCCTCTGACTTCTCTATTACCAAACGGATGACCTCTTTCTGTTATTGATTTAAAAGTTTGGTTTTTCACTATACCTTTACAAGAAAAGAACAGAGAAAAATTTGCCTTTACAGTGCCTACTTATAATAATTCTCAGCATAATAGAAGATATCAGTGGACCGTCCTTCCACAGGGAATGCTCAATAGCTTCACCCTATGCCGATACGTTGTAAGTTGGCCATTAGAAATAATATGTAAAAACTTTCCTCAAGCTATAACTTACTATTACATGGATATTTTGTTAATCAGATATTTTGTTATCTGATTCAAACATAGATGCTTTAGAAAGAATGTTTGAAGAGGCAAAGAAAGTTTTGCTAAAATAGGGATTACAAATTGCTCCTGAAAAAATACAGAGAGGAGATTCTGTCAAATACCTAGGTTATAGAATAGGTTTACAGAAAATTAGAACACAAAAGGCACAAATTAGGAGAGACCAGTTACAGACTCTTAATGACTTTCAAAGATTATTAGGAGACATTTTCAGTCTGTGACTGGCTATTGTGATAACACCTGATCTAATAATTCAGTTAAACAAGACCTTAGATGGTGATAAAGACTTGAATAGTCCCAGATAATTAACAGATGAAGCATAAAAGGAACTGACAATGGTTGAGGAGAAATTGCAGGAGGCACATGTGGATAGAATGAGTCCAAATCTTATTTGTATTCTAGTTGTATTGCATTCCAGAACTTCCCCTACAGAAATTTTAATGCAGAGGGACAATATTATCTTAGAATGGATCTTTTTGCCACATAAACCAAGTAAAAAAATTAAAAACTTATGTGGAAAATGTCTCTGAATTAATTATAAAAGGTAAATTGAGACTTCATCAATTAGTAGGTATATATCCAGCAAAGAATATAGTGCCTTTTACTACTGATGAAATAAAAAAAGTTATGGGAAGACAATGAACCATGACAAAGATATTGTGCTAATTTGGGGGGAGAAATTAATAGCAGCTATCAAACTCAGTAAACTTAACCTTATAAAAAGAACTTCTTGGATTCTTCCCGGAATAGTACATAATGCTCCAATAACTGGCGCCCATACATTTTATACTGATGCAAATAAATCAGGGGAGACAGGGTTTCTCAGTAGCTGTGGAGTCAGTCTGGAACTCACTCTGTAGATCAGGCTGTCCTCAAACTCACAGAGAGCCACCTGCCTCTGCCTCCCAAGTGCTGGGATTAAAGGTGTGTACCACCACCACCCGGCTCAGTCTGCTTTCTTATAGAACCCGAGACCACTATCCCCACCCTCACCCTACCTCCAGGGGACTGGGCCCTCCCCCATCAATCACTAATTAAGAAAATACACTACAGGCTTGGCTACAACCCAATTTTATGAAAATATTTTCTCAACTAAAATTCCCTCTCAGATGACTTAAGCTTGTGTCAAGTTGACATAAAAATATTCAACACACCCTGATACTAGGATATCAGCTATAACTGATATATAGCAATGTATTTGGGTCATTAGGGTGTCCAGAAGGGCCCCATACACAGTAGTGTATGGGGTGTTGACATGGGGTGGGGTGTTGACATGGGGTGGGGTATCCAACTGGACTTGATACCTAGCAGTGTACTCTGGGGAGGCAAGTAAGTAAACACCAGAATGCACATGTTAGTTGATGTTCTCTAAAGTAATAGAATTGATAGAATGAATAAATATATACATAGGTATATCTGTTATAAAATGTTTTTACTTTTTTCTTTTATTGAAAATAGATTCCCTTCTCACATAATATGTCCTGATCAGGATTTTCCCTCCCTCCACTCGTCCCAGTCCCTCCCCTCCCCTCCCCTCCCATTCCATTCAACTCTTTTTCTGTCTCTCATCAGAAAACAAACAGGCTTCTATGGGGCAACAGTAAAACAAAATAAAATATATTAAGACAAAACAAAACCAATACATCAGAATTGAACAAAACAAACAAACAGAAGGAAAAGAGTCCAAGAGAAGGCATAAGAAACAGGCCCACTCAGGAATCCTATAAAAGTACTAAACTGGAAGCCGCAATACATAGGCAAAGGACCTGTAGAGCAAAACAAGAAGAGGAAGAACTATAAATAAGATAGAGCAAAACTAAAATTTTAAAAATTAAAGGAAAAGCCCTAATATAACATTATGAGACAAGGAGCCCCCAAAGATTCCATTGAGTTCATTTTCTTTGGCCATATAGTGCTTGCCATGCAGTCTACCCTTAAAAGTAGTTTGTTTTCCCATAAGACATCCTTGGAAGGAACTAAAGTTTCATTTTCAAGCAGTTATCACTTGAATGGCTTCTGGGTTAGGGTGGGTACATGCATCTATTTCTTTCAGCTCTAAGACCCCAACTGGTGCAGACCCATGCATGCCTTTTGCATGTTCCCTCAATCTCTGTGAGTTCATATGTGTATCGATCGTGTTGACAGAGAGCTCCTTGTCTTCTTGGTGCACTCTAACCCACTGTAAGATGTAACCAAATCTTACACTCTTTACTCCTCTTCTGTAGGGTTCCTTGAGCTTTGAGGGAAGGGATATAATGGAGACCTCCAACTTCGGGCTGAGAATTCCACGGTTTCTCATTCATTGAATAATGTCTGGCTTTGAGTCTCTGTATTTGTTATCATCTGCTAAGGAGGAAGCTTCTCTGATGTGGACTGAACAGAGCACTGATCTTCTTTCCTGGCTGGAGTCTGTATTACTGTGTGTATGTGCATAATGAACAGGGGATTAGACTGGCTTACAGAATGTGGTCTGAGTGCTCCAACAATGACTGCCTTGCATGGAGAGGTCAAAAATCTGGTTGTTCAGTTCTTGAGACTGAGTTTCTCAGCAGTCCAAATCAGATGCTAAAGCTCCAAAGTATTCTTGGAAAGCTGATGATCCTCTATCTATGTTGGAATCCTAAAGATGTTGTCTCTAATACTGGTGGCAGTAATAGGATAGATGGACTTGCTGGCTAGAGTGAGGGAAAAACGACATAAAGCAAAAATTCCTTTTTCCACGTCCATACGAACTACCACCAGAAGGTGGGCCCAAATTTAGGGTTGTTGTCCTGCTTCTAATACTCTAAGAAAAGCCCTAAAAAATTCTGGTCAGTGATGGTGCCTGCTTTTAATATCAGTACTAGGGAGGCAGAGGTATACAGATCTCTGAGTTCAAAGTCATCCTGGTCTACAGACCAAGTTTTAGAATGGCTAGGGCTACATAGAGAAACCCTGTCTCAATAAAATCAACCAACCAACAAACAAACAAAAAATAAAAGGAAAGAAAGAAGAGAGAAGAAAAGAAAAGAAAAGAAAAGAAAAGAAAAGAAAAGAAAAGAAAAAAGAACTCACAGGAGTTGTCAGCAGCTTGTGTTTAGTTGGTTCCAGATGTAGTCAAATTGACAATCAAGACTATCCATCCTAGACCAGTACTTACCAAGGTGGGACATTCAGGGGAATCCAGTGTCAGTGGCCTAACTACTTTTAGTGTATATAAGAATAATCAAGGGGAGCTAGAGCAGACATGACGATGAGAAGTATATTTAGGATGACATGTACACTACATCAGGCCGTCCATGATACCCAGTCAGCACACCAAAACCACTGTTGTTTGATTGAGTTCAGGCACTGGTGGATATCTGCCACCAAACCTGAACTTAGGGATCAGGCCATGCAGGATACCTATTCCTCACACCACCAAAATATACTACGGTTGTTCAGGCCTTGCTAAAAAATCATGTGACCTGCTTCCCACATACAATGTTAAGACTCAAACCTTACTGGACAGACTTGTCCCTGACTGCCATCTTACAAAGACTTGTAGGTATCAGGCTTTGCTGGATAGCTCTTCTATGTTCTACTACCTGAATGTTGCAGGGAAATGCCTACTTGGCCCAGGCCAAAGGTCAGCACATGGTCGGGAGAATGTCTACAGCTCAATTTAGAGATATAGCTAGGAAGTCTCTAGGATCTGACTGACAGTGGTCAGATCTACATTAAGGACTGAAGGCATACACTGCTTGTTTATTCCCAGCCCCCCAGCCCCAAAATAAGCGCACAGAAACTGTATTAATTAAAACACTGCTTGGCCTACTAGCATATTTCTAGCTAGCTCTTATATCTTAAATTAACCCATTTCTATTAATCTGTGTATCGCCACATAGTTGTGGCCTACCTGTAAGATTCTGTACGCCATCCAGCATTTGTTTCCTGCAGGGGCTACATGGCTTCTCCTTGACTCTGCATATTCTCTCTATATATATCTTTTTCAACCTGGTTATATTCCCTTAAGCCTTTGACTGAAAACAGCTTCTTTATTAACCGATGGCAATAAAACATATTTACAGCATACAGAGGGGAATCCCACATTGAAGGGTCTCAATTTATTTACATTATATCCTCCTCCCCAAGGCAGTGATAAGTAGAAGTTCCTATAGTCCGATTTATGTGATGAAGACTGATATGGTAAATGTGAAATGGCGTGTTCTCACATAAGTTCAGACCACATATGGGATAAGAGGGGATATGTCTTTGAGATTCAGATGCCTACAACCACTATAAAGAAAATTTGCTGATTAATAAAATACTGTGAAATTATATATCTCATTACATGCTTGCAATTTGATGACTAGAAATGATACTTTCATGTTTTATTTTCCTGATAATTAATTACATTTTCCCTCTGTGTGGATCTTTTAATTCCTCATCCTCCCACAAATTAACTTTCTCTACATGTATGGGGTGTATGGGGATGTCCTAGTGAACCCCTGAGCTTCCCCCATCACTCTACTTAAACTATTGAGCTACACCCCAGCCTGAATTTCCCTTTCATATCATTTCCTATTTTCTGTGGTTGTACTCCATGTCTTTTGTTCATTGCTGCGTGGGAACTTTCCATTGTACTGTTGCTGACTACACTACACATGGGTTAGAGGCTGGTAATTGCAGGAATTAGAGCAGGGGGCACTGTGGTCTTGGAGGAGTTCTGATTGGGTGACAGCGGGAAGGAAAGCCGAATGGGGGCAGGGCTTGGAGGCCTACTCAAGGCAAGGTCAAGAACTGTCCCAGCAGGGGTCAGGACCGGAAGCCGGAGTGGGATTAGGCTCAGGTCAGGGCCAACTTCCCGATAGGTCCTGGAATCTGGGATGGGCACTAGGGTGGTGAGGGTCGCCTGTGGGCCCAGTCCTCTATTCTTGTCCCTGATACTTCTGCTGCCCCTGAGCCTCAAGGCTGGCTCTGTTCTGAAGTCTAGTGTTCCCAGCCCCTCAAAGTTGTCTGGGGTAGCACCATGGAGAGCGGGGCCACAGCAAGGCTGGGAACCGTTGACCAGCGGGCACCAGGATTCTATGAGCGGAGCAGGAGGTTCGTTTGAAAGCCAGTGGGCGGCAGTTGACGGGTGAAGGCCATAAAGGCCACGCAAGGCACCGGAAGTAGTGTATGCCTTTTGCTTTCTTTTTGGAACCAGGTGGTCCCAAAGAAAATATCAACCAAGGGGGCTTAGGTTCTCTTCCGATACTGACTCTTTCCTCCCTAGAGCCTGGTGTGGTGCCGTGGAACCAAGGTGGTGTCCAGGGCTGACCCAGTGGTAGTGACAGAAAGCATGGGTTACTAAGAGTTGGGGCAAAGGGAACAAAGCTCCCTGAGATTCTGGATGCTGATTCCTGGAAGAAGATAATCTTGTAAAGATCTGGGTTCAGTAATCCCCTCCCAGATGAATCATAGAAACAATTATCATTATCGGCCTCACTCGGTCTCCGTTTAGAAATGTAAAGCCACTTGTTCCAGGTCACTCCTCAGCACCACAAAGTCCTGCCAGCAGCTCTCTCTCCCTTGGATATTGGGCAGATTGAATTAGGGACAGTCACTGAGAAGTCATTACCTTGAATAACTAATATTAGTAACCTATGAGACTTCTAGTCTTGTGATCTAAAAAGTAAGCACAGAGCTGTGTTATTTGAGAAAACAAAGTCATAAAACCTCCGTTCTGTCCACTTGCTTGTGAGCCTGTTCACTTAAGGATAGGCTGCTGTGGCCAGCCTTTTGTTTGCTTCACCCCATCTTTCCAGACTCCTGAGCTCTTGCTCCCACAGAACCTGTCAGTGGAGTTTTTCATGTCCCAGGTGGTGGCCAGTGAAAGCAGAGACCAGGGTGGCCCCAAAATCACTTACACAGGTTATTTTTTGCCATGATCTTCTAATCTGTGAAGTGGAGGAAGGTCTTCCCTAGGGACTTATTCTGCCTCTCAGGAATTGTGTCTCTAACAAATTGCACGGGGGTGTCTCCACAGTTTGTGGGAAGCCGAAGATGGTTGGGAAAGTGTTTGGTGGCCGGGATACATTGGCTGGCCAGTGGCCATGGCAGGCCAGCCTGCTGTACCGGGGCTTTCATCTCTGTGGAGCTGTCCTCATTGATTCCCACTGGCTCGTTTCCACAGCCCACTGCTTTCAAAAGTGAGTTTGCCTTGTCTGGAGCTCCCGGAGAGGGACTGGGTGGTGATAAAGATGCAGGATGAGAGGAGGAAGTTAGAGATAGCTTGCCTTTCTCCTCTGGGCTTTTCTCTGGGGCAGTCTACTTCCACCAGCAGTCTTCTCTGCCTGGATTAGCCCGATATGCTATCAAAACTTCCTTGATCTGTCCTGGTTCTCATTATATTTAATTCTCAGCTTCTGCAGGGACCCCTATACTCCCACTCTGTGCCTGCCAACTCACACAGATGTTTCCCAAGAGGACTGGCCATGCTTTGTTGTCTACCTGGAGACTTCATCTTATTTCATGGTCCCTTTCTCTTCTGTGAGTCAGATTCTAGAAAAGGACCACATATGACCAATGTAATTTCTTATGTTTGTAAAACTAAGCCCTGGGACAAACTATGGTCATGCCTATGCCATATCAGGCTATATGGATGGAAAGTGCTGGAGCCCCAACATGAACAACTGCTATGGACAGCCAGGAGCCAATCTCCTCTGACTTTCTGGAGTATGAAAGAGGGCCTAGCTTATGATAAGACATGGAGGAACCCAGAGGGAATGGGTGCTATACAGTCCAGATCAGGGAATTGAAACTTAGCTTTTGGGCTTTGAGGTTCCAGCTTAATCCTGCTGGCACAGACTTTGTGCTGCATTCACCTGAGACCCTTTAGAAAACAGAATGTAGAGATCCAAGGTCAAGGTTTCTTTTCTCTCAGAAGAAACAAGTTTCAATCAGTATGATACAGGTGAGACATGCCAAACAATATGAACAGGGTAGCCCTGAGGAACATAAATCTACAAAGATGCTGCAATCTTGAAGGAATGAAAGGAGCTACAGGGGCTACCAGAAGGGAGGAACTGAGTATGTGGAGCTGGTGAGGATCCTCCTAGTGTGGGAGCTGTGGGGAAGAAAGCTGATAAATAGGCTATTTACTCAGTCCTAGTCAGGAACAAGAAGGAAAGCTCCCCTTTGGTGCACTGATGTGTGCACTTAACAAGTCATTTGTGAGTGCTTCATATCAGGTGGAGAAGCAGTCCTTGGTAAGGGGGCAGGAAAATATGCTAGATTTCCATCACTGTGACCAAACAATCCAGAAAATGAACAAAAAGAAGAAGGATTATCTTGACTCATGGTTTCAGTCCAAAGTTAGTTGCCCTGTTTCTTTGATTATATACACAGTTCATCACAGCAAGAACATTTACAGATGAGGCCTGATCACCTCATGGTAGCTAGAAAACAAAAATAATGAAAAGAAGTGAGGGGCCCTTCAAGGAATTTCTCCAAATGACATAGCTTCTTTTCACTAGGCCTCACCTTTGAAATGTTTCACTCTTTTTGGATAGCACCACAGGTTGATGACTATGCCTTTAGTTATTGCCTTACTCCTAAGCCAATAACATTTAAGATTTAAATCACAAAACTCGGATTCAGCCATAGTTTTCCTTAAGTAAAAATTTAAAAGGTTTGACTTGAAGATTCTATTAGGGACTCTTCCAGTGCTGAAATTCTTTGTTCCTCCAATTCTAAGATATAATGGGGAATACTTTGTCATGAGGTTTTAGTAGAATATCCATAATCCTGGAGAAAGAAGGCGCCTATCTTAGTTACTTTTATATTGCCATGATGAGACATCATGACCAAGGCAACTTATAAAAGAAAATGTTTACTGGGCTCACTGTTTCAGAGGGTTTGAGTTCATGACCATTATGACAAGGAGTATGGCAGCAGATAGGCATGGTGCTGGAGCAGTACCATGTAGCTGATAGCTTAAATATTAATCCACATGTACAAAGTGGAGAAATAGATATATCTGAGAATGGATTAGGCTTTTGAAACCTCAAAACTCACTGCCCCCCAAGTGACACATGTCCTCTTTCAAGGCCACATCTCCTAATCCTTTCCTAGCAGGTCTACCAACTAAGGATCCAACATTCAAACATATGAGCCTATGGAGGTCATTCTCATTTAGAGTACTGCATTCTACTCCCTGACCCCCTTAGGCTGTGGTCATATTATAATACAAAAATGCATTTAGCACAACTTCAGAAATTTCCAAGTCTTTTGGTCTCAACACCATTTCAAAGTGCAAAGTCTCTTATGAGATTCAGAACAATCTATTAGTTGTTACCCCTATAATATAAAAAAGCAAATTACATTCTTCCAACATACAATGGTATTACAATATACATTACCATTCAAAAAGGAAGGAACAGAACTACAGTGAGGAAATAATGGACCAATGCAAGATGGAAACCCAGCAGGTTAAACTCCAAATCATGAAGCTCCATGTCCAGTGTCAAATGACTTACATGGTTCTATCCTTCCAGCTTTTCTGACTGCAACATAACTTTTCTATTTTGGATTGGTTCAACTCCCCTTGACAGGTATTCTACAGTTGCAGTTCTAGCACCTCCCATATTCTGAGGTCTCCAGCACAATCCAGGCTTCACCTTCACACCTTCACACAAGGGCCTCACTGGGCTTCCTTGCAGGGAAACTTTTCTTAACAGAGAAAGATTCCACAAACCTTTTACTCCTGTATCCTCCATGACTCTAAAGTCAGAACTACATAGCTGATGCCACCAAATTATGCTTGCTGTTTAGGATAAAACTTGACTCCCTCAAATTACATTTACATAAGCCTTGATTTGTTGTTGCTCTTTGGGAACAAATAATTCCTTAGACCTTTTCTTTTTACAAGTTGCAGGAATAGCTGCGTGAGGTCTTACCCTGAGGACACCATTCCCTTTACCACCCTCCCCTTAGTCTCCTTATCTCTTTCAGTGTAAATCAAGTCTCCAATATTAAATTTCCTGGTGTTCCTTTTCTCTTTAAGTTTACATTTTGTATTTTTCCCTACTTGCTCTTTTTCAATAAAACCAACTTGACCAGGTCTGTGACAGCAATAGCCCATTTCCTAATATCAAATTCTGTCTTAGTTATATTTCTATTGCCACGATGAGATACTGTGTCCAAAGCAGTTTAGGAAATGTTTATTGAGACTCCCTATTATAGGGAATTAGAATCTGTGATCATCATGGCAGGGGGCACAGCAGCAGGCAGGCAGACATGGCACTAGAGCAGTACCTGAGAGCGTACATTTTATCTTCAGGCACACGGAAGAAATTGGGATGCAATTAGAAATTACTTGGGCTTTTAAAACCTCAAAGCCATCCCAGTGGCACACCTCCTCCAACAACAGCACATCTTCTAATACTTCCCAAACAGTTCTACCAATTAGGTACCAAGCACTCAGATGTATGAACCTGTGGAGGCCATTCTCATTCCACCCCCTACAACACTTGACTGTCAGAAGGGAGAGACCATCCTGCATGGAATCAGGGCCGAGTGGCCAGTGATAAGTGAGGTTTCAGGAACACGGGGTTATCCTCCCACTGAGAGATGATGGTGATGATGGACTCCTTTATCTTTCAGCAAATCCCAGGCCCCAGGGGACTATCAGGTTCTGTTGGGGAATACTCAGCTATACCAGAAAACACAACACACTCAGAAGATGTCTGTGAATCGTATCATCAAACACCCAGACTTTGAGAAGTTTCATTCCTTTGGGAGTGACATTGCAATGCTGCAGCTGCGTCTGCCCGTGAACTTCACATCCTATGTTGTGCCTGCCTGCCTCCCACCTAAAGATGCACAGCTCCACAACCACACATCCTGTTGGATAACTGGATGGGGAATGCTTTCTGAAGACAGTAAGGGAAAGGGAAGTTGGAGAGGGAGTGAAGGCAGGAAAAGGAGGAGGACAAGAGGTGCATGGGGAGGAAGGAAAAGGTCTCAGCTGGCATGACATGAGAAGGCCATTATAGAGTCCTTCTAACCCTTAAAGTGTGAAGAGTCCATAGCCACAAACCTCCCTGCAGTCCAGGTTCTGAAGGTGGGGAACTGTTGACATTTGCCATTTAGAATCTAGGCTCTTTGAATATTAATTGTCTTTTTATACTAAGATTTCAATCAATCAATCATGGATCTGAGGCGATTTGATTAAACTCAAAGGTCATGTGTAGAGGCTAGCCCATTCCATGTTAAACAAGTTTCCAGCACTGTAACAAAATACCTGATGTAATCAGTCTTAAAAGGTAAAGTTGATTTTAGCTCACAGGTTTAGCTCAGAGCTTCCAGACCATGATAATTTGGCCCTTTTGTTTTGGACCTGTGGTGAAGAAGCTCATTGTGGTAAGGAAATGTGTGGTAGAATAATGATGCATACCTTATGGTGGTCAGGAAGCAAATAAAGAGGAAGATCAGAGGCCAGTGTACTACTATCTTCTTAACAGACACACATGTCTAATGACCTGACTTCCTACCACTAGGCTCTACCTCTTCCTAATAGGATATTCAGTTACCAATAGTGTCATAGGCTGAGGACAAGGCCTCAAACACACTGACCTGAATACTTAATATCCAAGTATAACACAGGTAATTACCAAATATCTTGGGAGTGCTTGAGTAAAATGGAAAGTCACATGTGGTTTGAGACCATTGAGAATGCATGATTAAGTGAGAACTATTGCAGCTCTAAAGTGTTTAAACTCACTTAATCTCAACTGGCTTTATCCTGTTTTTACAGTCTTGTCAGATGAACTACATAATGGAGAAATCATTTTGGTTTTATTTGCTTGTTTGTTTCTGGTATTGAGGATTGGTCCCAGTGCCTTGTACATACTGGAAAAGGCTCTATCAGTGAGCCACCAAGATCCCCTAGCTTTTATTACTTTAGATTGAAATGTATGCAGAGTCACACCCGGAAATATTTTTTTAAGGATTTATTTATCATGTATACAACATTCTGCCTCCATGTATACCTGCATGCCAGAAGAGGGCACCAGATCTCATTACAGATGGTTGTGAGCCACCATGTGGTTGCTGGGAATTGAACTCAGGACCTCTGGAAAAGCAGCCAGTGCTCTTAACCACTGAGCCATCTCTCCAGCCCCAAACTTTTTTTTTCCCGATGATTGATAGCTATCTACTAGCAATCGCTTTTTACGATCGCTCAGAGGTTAAGAGCACTGACTGCTCTTCCAGAGGTCCTGAGTTCAATTCCCAGCAACCACATGGTGGCTCCCAACCATCTGTAATGAGATCTGGTGCCCTCTTCTGACCTGCAAGTATTCATGCAAGTAGAACACTGTATATGTAATAAATAAATCTTTAAAAAAAATGAGTGGGTGTGTGGGTGAGCGGGTGGATAAAGACATAGGATAAAGATTAGTGATAAAGGTTGCTTAACATTGGACACAATGTGTTAGTAGGATTTGCCTCTTTATATAGTAGATTTGTGATCTGCTGCTGTGAGAGAGATGAGGAAGGCAAGTGGGAGTTTCTGAGAAAAAGGAGAGAAGTTCATGAGAAGTAGGTAGAAGATGAAAACAGAATTTGACACTGAGATGTCCTATGGTGAACATCAGTCAGAGTAGCCTGGACTTTCCCAGCTAAGTCACAGTGTCCATCACTGACCTCCTCCTTATTTTCACAGCAAAACTGTTACCACCCTTCTCTCTGCAAGAGGGCGAAGTGGGCATCATTGAGAATGAGTTCTGCAATGCGTTATATGGGCGAAGACCAGGCCAAAACAAGGACTATGTGCATGAGGAAATGCTGTGTGCTGGGGGCCTCTCCACAGGAAAGTCCATCTGCCGGGTGAGTAAGGCAGTCATGGGTTTTCCCCATGCCTATTCTATCTCAGTTCTTCCAGGAGTGGCTGTATTGTCCTCTAGTCCTTGTGGAGACTCCCACACTTCTTGTTTCATTACCTCTACTTGTTTTCCTTGGGTTCATGCCTCAAAATAGTCTCCTTGAGGATAGCTTTAGCAAATCCTAACATCAGTTTTTGTTGCATATCTTATACTTTTTATTGAGGCATAACATATACACAAATATGCAATTTGTAAGTAAACAGTTTGGTAATGTTTTCAGTGCTGATTTAGTATGCTTCTGGTACCCATCTCCCTTTCTTGCCACTAAGTGCATTTTGTATGTTCTTTGTTATATGCTGTCTTCTGTGATGTTTCATTTAAGTTTCTCACTTTGTTGTTGGGTTGTCAGTTTCTTATGGGAAGTCTTTATATGGTATAGAAGTAAATTCACAATTGGACATAATGGATTTTCTGGGGAGACTGTCCCAGAGAAGGAAAATAGTTGATCTGAAGGGAAGTGGCACAACCAGGGCCCAGATGTCTGGATTCTGATGCGTTCCTCATCTCTGCAGGTTTCTGACTCCTGAGCTGACATAGTCCCCATTATAAACTAGATTTCCCATGGGATTTTCCTAAAGGGATTTCACAAATGCAGTAACTTTCGGAAGTGTTCTGAAGACTCCTTTGCACAGTGATATAAGCTGTCTTTACCCAGCCAAGGGATGGGCATATTTTTTTAAGAGTTCCAGTTCACAAGTTGAGAAAACAGACCTAACCAGGGTTACCAAAGGCAGAGGAGTTGACTGAATATATTGCATCAGCTCAAGGTTTACAGAGCCAGGACCTACACATAGGTTAGCAGAACTAGCTTTCTTACAAGTTCCTAAACTTTCCCTTCTAGACATGAGGCATGGTAAGCAAAAAGAAGAGTCCATAGGCTTTCAGCTTGTCCTCATCTGTCTGGGCTCTGTAGGATCCTAACATGTAGTTGGTATTTGTGTCCCTAAGCAGATTGCACACTAACTCCTCTCTCTCTCTCTCTCTCCTCAGGGTGATTCTGGGGGTCCCCTCATCTGCTACCAAACCAGTTCATGGTTCCTAGTAGGACTGGCTAGTTGGGGCATGGACTGCCGGCATCCCATTTACCCTAGCGTCTTTACCAGGGTCACCTACTTCACTGATTGGATCAACCAAGTCAAGGGACTTACCCCACTTCCAGAATCTGGATCTGTGTCTCCTCACACAGAACTACAACCTATGCCTCTGAGAGCTGCTGGCTCCCCACAAACCTGCAGCATCTTCACAGTTGTACAAATCTGGTTCCTGTTGGTATTTATCCCTGAGGCTCAAGACCAGGCCCCAGGGTGAGCACCCGGCCTTTGGGCATTCTTTGCTCAGGCTTCCCTAAGCTATAGCCTCCACTCTTTAGTTTACCATCTGAATCTTTTCCTCAGCATATCTGCCCATTCACTGCCACTACTAAAACAAGCCTAGAAAAGCCAAGCAATAAAGCCTCATCCTCCCTCAACTCTGACTGCATACCCTTGTAGGGATCTCATATCCCTTGGTGGCCAGACTTACCCTGGAGTTAGCCATCAGACCTTGAAAGGGAGAAAATGAAACATCACAAGGAAATTCTCCTTTAGGAAAAGGCAAAGAAATGGGGGTTGCCTAATTGGGTAGGAAAGTGGGGGCATGCTTACTACAGGGATACTGAGGAGTAAGGATGCATCCCCGAAAGAGAGAGACATTCCTATGGCCTTGTCCCTGCTGTGAGGAATGCCAAATCTTTCAGAGAAGTAGAATTTTACACCTGGCCTTCAAGTACAAGGGAGTAAGAGCCTCTTTCTGGAGGTGGGGCAGCACTCCTGGGATTTCAAGGAGGAAGAACAAACACACAGAGAACCTGAAAGATTGAAGTGATGTTGTGGGTTTGGGGTGCTAGGATCAGGTCAAAGGAATAGAAACATGACTTGTGGCTAAAAGTCTCAATGGATGTGGGGGACTAGAGCATTAGTTGAAAGCAGATAAAAACTGTTGTAGTAGCTGGATGAAAACCAAATATTAAGTCAACCATGCTCAAGTTTCTACTCTAGGTTAATACTGAACATCATCGTCACCTACATCCAGGGGCCCCATTCTTCCTATGAGCCTGGTCCCTAATGTTTGAAGCCCAGACCACACCTGCCTCTGTCCACACTTGATATAACCTTGTCAGTTTGGTTGACCCAGGACTTAGTAATCAAGGAAAAATTAAAACAACAAAAATGGTCTTCTGGGCCCATTCTTTAGGCATTTGTACCAGGCACAGAATACTTATATGGCCAGCAGGAGTTAAGAGGCCTCACAATGCTACTCACCCCAGTCTTTAGAATACTCAATAAACAGGAGAGCTCCTGCTTACCCCAGGTCCATAGGAACCAGACAGCACTTACGAGGTTCAAAACAAATCCTTTCTAATCATGGTGTTGTCTGATGGGTTTGTGTTCACTAGCAGCAGTGTCCTTGTTTTCAATCTTTTGTTGCCTGTGCAATAGGGCTTCCATCACAAAAGGATCTTGTGGAAACTCAAGAACGTATACTACATACAGTCTCAGCCACAGGAGATAGTCTATAGAGTACTTGTCTATCACACAAAAAGCCCAAGTTTGATCCCTAGTGCTGCATAAACAAGGTATGATGACAAACACCTGTTATCCCAGGAGTTAAGAGGCAGAATCAGGAAGATCAGATGTTCAAGACCATTCTCAGCTGTACAAGACCATTCTCAGCTGTACAATAAGTTCCAAATGAGCCTGAGATGCACAAAAGCATACCTTAACACCTCCCCCAACACACACATAAGAAACCACACACACACACACACACACACACACACACACACACACACACACACGAGAGTATCTTGAAGACTTTTTTTTTTTTTGGAAGATCCTGCATCTGACCACAGCTCCACTTCTGAGGTACTGCTACAATTGGTTGTACAACTATATTCATATTAGACTTTGCTGCTTCAAGGTCTATGGAATTAAGAACTCAAACACTTCACTTAATAACAAGCTTGGTTATGGGGTCTGAGATGCTAGTTAACAAGTTCTCCTTTTCATTGAGGGCTCTAAAGTCTGGGGAAGAGTTAGCCTGACAGTGGTGTGGTTCATATATATTCTTCAGTAAGGGAAGCTCAGGTGACTCAGTGTGGATTATAAGCTTCTTCACTGGCCCTACAGTTACCATGATGCCCCCAGACTAGCCGGACTCAGGAAACCTGGGTGCCATTGGGCCTGGCATGGGCTTTTAAAACCTCAAAAACAAACCCCAATGACACACTTTTTTCAACAAAGCCACATGTCCTAATCATTCTAATCATTTCAGAGTTCCACTTCCTGGTGACTAAGCATTGTAAAATATGAGCCCATGGGAGTCATTCTTATTCAAACCATCACAGTGTCCTTACAGTCTAAACCACTGACCTCAACCTATAAGTAGCCTACTGAAGAACACAACCAAAACTCAGCTCTAGCTCAGACTAATTCATCTGTTACTTGATACCATCTGAAGTACTCACTATTCATATCATTGTGAGTAAATACACAGGGAGGGTATCAGTAGTAAGTAGCGGAACAGAATCCCAGAGACTTCTTGAGAGGGCTTGAACACATGTAGGCTTGCCATAGTGAGAAGACCCCTGCCCGTCTGCCCTCACAGCTACCCCGCCTGCTTCGAGGAATCTCCTTTGTGGCCAGGTCAAGCTGTTCCCAGGCCAGCATAATCACCCTGAGACCAGATGGGTCTCTGATGATGAGAAAACAGGATACCTATAGTCAGACACTTAGAGGTCAGCCTTCGGCCAACAGGAAGACAAAAGGGAACAGGGAGCCCAGAGTGTGCTGAATGATTCCCATATATTCAAGATAAATAGACAACCCTGTAACCATATATTTCCCTGACCTGCCCCTAACCTGACCCCATCTCTTATCTGAAATATATTTCCCTGACCTGCCCCTAACCTGACCCCATCTCTTATCTGAAATATGTTTCCCTGACCTGCCCCTAACCTAACCCCATCGTTTTATCTGAAATAACCACTGAGAATGCATCCGCTTCTGTAAACCCGCTTCTTGCTATATAATCAACCCCGAATTCAGCCCGGCACGCGCAGTCACCCGAAGGCTGTTGCGTCCGCCAGGCACCTGTGTGAATAAACTACCTCTTGCTTTTGCATTCAGTGTGGACTAGTCTTGGTTCTTGGGCGTCGTGGTCCCCGAAGGGAAAACACCCTAGCCGGGAGTCCTTCAATAGACTGTACCTATATTACTGCTGCCTAAACCTCAGATTTCTAGTAAAGCCTTAGTCTGACCTATACTAAGAATGAGCATCAGACATTCACTTAGGGAGATAAATGGTATAAGATCAGTAAGCCTGAGGTTGGGCTTGCCAGACACAAGGGTTTCACCAGATGGAAAGACCAGAAAGATCTACGATTTTCCCTGAGCTCCAGGATGATGCTATAGTTACTGTTCATACTACCACAAGAAAAGCTCGGTCTTGCTTTGGAGTAAAAAGAAATGAACTGACTTCAGTGAGAGGCTTTGCATTCCAATCTGGAACAGATGGTGCTGGGAATGTAACCAAATGCAACTGAGTTTCCAACTTGGTAAAGGCAAAGTCAAATTAGGTACCGCTATGATATCAGAGTAGAACAAAATTATCTGCAGCAAGTGAGTAGAGCATAAACATAATTTCCAAAATAATTTTTCCACTAAACAAAGGAAGCATGGGGATTTTTTATTTTTATTTTTTGCAACAGGGTTTCTGCATAGCTTTGGAGCCTGTCCTAGAACTAGCTCTTGTAGACCAGTTTGGCCTCAGACTTACAGAGCAGGAGCCTCTGCTTCCTGCATGCTGGGAATAAAGGCATGCACCACCACTGCCTGGTTAGCATGGGATTTTATTGTGGGGCTATATGTACATGTGGATAGGCCAGTTCTTAAGCATGATGAGCTTCAGGTCAATATATATATATATATATATGACTATTGTAGACACATTTTGGGGACCATATTTAACTCAAAGTCTCAGAACACATACATGATCAAAGTGGTAAACAGAAATTCCTCTGGGTATGTTCAGTCTGTACCATAACATTTTAGTCAAAAATAAGATATTTTGAAGCTACATTAATATGAGTTTACTCCCAAGAATGCCTACCTGGCTTAGTCACTTACAAATTCATCCCTGAGACATTTCACTGACTTTATGGGATCAGGATAAAGGACATATATTTCCTGAAGGACTGGAGTGCTTTACCTTTCTAGTTAGGGATTGAAACTCTTGAAGTTAAGGGCAAGATAGGCCTTAGGATCATGTGGGGACAGTCTAACACTGTAACTTGAGGAGATATATACATATGTAATTGTATCATGAATAAAATAAGTAAAGTTGATATTTGCACTTTATGTAGCCTGAAAGATAGGTAATCTTCCATTGAATCACAGTCAAAACAATTAACAAACAGACCAGGTAGAAAAATAAGGAAAAGATAGACACTTTTTGTGATATTTTATACAATTTCATTGAATGTGATTTTCAGCTTTAGATTATAACAAAAGAGCCTTCAAAATAAGATTTAAGCTTTATAAACAAGCTAAGTAGAGCAGTAAGTTTAAAAAAATTCATTACTGTTTCACCTTTATTATTGAACTTTTTGTTGGCTCATAGGACAGGCATTTTAAAAGCTGTTATATAAATGGCCTGCCCCTTTAAGATGCTAATCATGCTAAAAAGATCATATCCCAAGTCCAAGGCTGGAAAAATAAGGCCACTTTCCCCTTCAACTGTCTGCTTCTGGGTCAGAGTTAAGAAGCCATGCTGTGTTATGGCTTCACAGCCACATCCCCTCAAAACTGCAAGAGATGTGTGGGAGGAATTAGGGAGAGGAGTGGGGGTGAAAATGATCAAAGTACATGAGATGAAATTGTAAACAGTAAAAATGACAAAATCATCCTAAAGTCTCACGAGCGTACTTGTTCTTTGTAGGTGACACAACCTAGTTAAGGAGACCTCTGCTCTCAAGGATATGAAAATCAATGAAGGAGAAGGTGTGGGCTGCCATGTATTGGCAATAAGGCTAAGATAAGACTTGGGAATCAGAGCTCCTCCCCAAATCACCAGAGAGTGAAAGTTCTGTTAGGGACGTATCTGACTCGTTCTTCATAAAGAACCTCAGAGAATCAAGTCACATTTCAGTAGCCCAAAGAGGAAATAAGTGAAAGCAAAACTGATTTGTCCTTTTTCCTGAGCACAAGTCCTATCACCTGAAAGACATGCCACATGGAGAAAGCACGAACACACCTTTTCAGAACATTTATTGGGGGCAATCAGTATTGTAAATAAAGGATGGAATACTGAGGAGTAGAGAAATTCTTTTCTGATAGAAATTCAGGAAAAGCATTTTCTGCTTGTAAAATTGAGCTGAGCTTCCTGACACAGAGCTTACAACCAAAAGGAGTAACTGAAGGTACCTGACCCAAATGACACCTATAGATGAGAAATCAGTGAGGCTCTGGCTACTGTGAGGCATGGATGAGTAATGCTTCTGACACAATAGCTTCTTCTATAAAGCCATACAGCCACACATTTCTGTAACTTATAGGCTTGTCTGCTACTGTCTCTGTCTCTCTGCTTCTGTCTCTCTTTTTTTTTTTTTTTTTTTTTTTTTGTCAGTGAAAGAATCACCTGCACCAAGCTTTCCTGTTTTGCAGGCCAAAATGTGCCCTCTTGGCAGATAGAGGGAAGTCCTTTTCTGGCACTTGTCTAAGACATATGAATGCATCCATGGTTCCTGTTGCTGTTTCACACTAAGCTCTGTTGTGGACCAGTGAACCTGCTGCACCTGAGAAGCATTCATGGACCACTGGAAGGGCTCTGGTCAGGCATGAGTTAAAATCTGTAAATGAATTCATTTGAGGCAGGGAGCTTGTCATTTGGGGCCCGAGAGTTTGGATGGGCAGCCTGCTTTCTGGTTTAAATTTCCCCTCCCTGGATACCTGACTATTACAGTCAGATGTCTGACTTTCCTGGGGACCTGTTATTTCTTTCAGGGTCCTTCCAGCTACCAGAGTATTTTGTGCTTTTGTTGTCTTCCCATCTGCCCCTTGAGTACTCTTGCCCTGGCTGGTGTTCAAGATCTTGGTAGGTTGTGGTTGAAGAACACTGGGCTGCCCTCCCTTGACTATGTTACTGATCTTGTCAGATACAAATATGCTTTTGCCATTCACCTTTGCTCCTTGAAGCCCCAAGGCTGTTCTTCCTGAATCCAGTCGCTTACCCAATGGCGCAGGGGCAGCCTCAGTGGATATTCTGGGCACATCTGGGCTGTGTTTATTGCCCTCTGACTCTTTCATACTGGTGTTGTCTAAGACCATGGATGCCTGGTGCAGAACAGTCTTTGTCATTGTATATGTGCTCTTGGCGTGTCCGTCCTTGTTAACAGAACGTGACTGTCTCTGAGCCTCGTGTTCTTCATTATCCACACGTGAGGTAAAAGGGAGAGGACAATGCCCTGATCTGGACGCTGTACCAGCACTCTGGCCCTTACTGGTTTCATTGAGATGACTGACCAAAGGCTTTTGCAGCGCAGTTTCAAATTTTTCCCGACATTGGCTCACCCATGAGGTCCATGAAGGTTTACCTGACAGATTGCCTGGGTGGCGTTGTAGGATTGTCTCACAGTTAGACTGCAGGCCATTATCTGGAGTGCCCTTGGTGTTGCTCCATAGTTGGTGTTTTTGAACAGTCTCTAGGTTATGTCCCTTTGCCTTTAACAGTTTCTCCCCTGATTGTCTTGCTGGGAAGCTTTCAGGTTTGTTCAATACATTGTTGTGTAGGTCTTTACTGCCCTGTTGCTTAAAGAAAGAGATCCATGAAAGCCCATAGTTGCTTGTAGATGAAGATGCCTCTGAAAGTTCTGCTCGAGGACTCATCCATGATAGAGAGTTACGAATCCTCTGGGGTAGACCCCAGCGTTGTAGGATGAGCCTCTTTCGAAGGTGGTGCTCAAGTTTCTTCTGGAGCTCACTGGTGAGGGGGAAATTTCCAAGAGAGATGGGCCTGAGAGCATAGGTCTTAGACTGCTTGACTAATGAGGGATTGGGAGGTGGGGGACAAAATTCTTCCTGGGATTTTTTGACCACAGTGGGTAAACCCCACACTCTTTCCTGCACCTTTTTCAAGATGTTGTATTCTAGGCAGTGGATTGCAGATGCCTCAAGAGGTTGTCCTTTATCCTGGGGTCTGTGAAAATACACCCCACAGATTCTAAGCTGGGATAGCAGAGAAGGTGACAGCACTGGAATTGGGTGTTGAAGCTGGGTCTGAGTCTTGGCAAGAGGGACAGGTTGTGACTGAGATGTGGACAGAGTTTGGGACAAGTTCTGTGGTTGAGTTTCAGGCAAGAACAAAGGTGTGTGGTTAGTAAGCACTGCAGAATCTGAGAATCTGTTGAAGCATCCAGAGGTCAAGGAACTGTCAGCCCACACAGGAGCAACAGAGTTCATGGACTCGCTGTGTAGAGAAGGGATGTCCCAGAAAAACTGTGTATGTTTAGGCTCTAACTGATCTTCAGAGGTCTTGAGATGTGGGGACTGCTGGTGCATGTGAAGTCTCTCTGGTTTACCTTTGCAGCTCCCCAAAGGATAGGAAACTGCCAAGTTCTGCTGATCAGATTCTTGGATCGTCTCACAAGTTTTAAATGAATAAGCCATCTTTTGATCTTGTCTCTCAAGTATTACCATGGAATCAAGGTTGGAAAAGGAAAGGTTTCCAGGTAATTTAAGGCTGGTTGTGTTGTTTCCCCATAAGTAAGATTCAGAAGAACGGAGGTCAAGAAACTCCTGGTTAACCAGATGTTCTGGCTCCAACTGGGAAGAGATGCCAGTACCAGTCTGATGAATAAATTCTGACATTGCATGCCTTGAACTGCAAATGCCCTTGTTTGTTGGAATGGTAAACAACTCCCTAGGGCTGTCCACCAGAGATAGTACGGCTGTTGGTTGGAGAAGCAGTTCTGTTTCCTGCGTGGCATGTTGTTGTGGAAGCGGGAAAGTGGCACATGGATGGAGAGAATCGTGGTCTAGAGAGAATTTAGCATTCACAGGAGGAATAGATTCCGATGGCACAGAGTCACCCAGTGATGAGGCAGAAAATGTGTCTTCTAAGTGGGCACTCTGTTGAGGTGAAATAATGGAGGTAGACTGTAGAGACAGTTCATGCGGAGGGTCTGAAATTGGATTTTCTGAAGGATTTTCTGGGAAGGGAAGGGACAGAGTCAATGAGGTCTCGGACTCAGAAACTGTGGTGAAATCCATACTGGACGCAGAGGCAGCACCATCTTCAAGGGTGATCTGAGAAAGCAGGCGACTAATCTTAACAGTTGTTCCATTACACACGTCACAGGAAGAATCTGGATATAGTAGGTGTCGGAAGTGGGAGTGATCATGCAGTTCACCTAGGGGGCTGCAGGAGATAGAAATTTCAATTCTGTTGTAAAGACCAATATTGAAATGAGGCCTTCTGGCCTAGCTGTGATGGAGATACCCAAAGCCTGTATATATATTTTTATGCCACCCACGCCTTCCAGTGCTACTATAGTCTCTCTCCACGCTCTTTTGTATATTTTCCCATTGACTATTCCTCCCATGACAAGAACAAGCTGTGCAGATTCCCCATGATGTCCAGGAAAAGGGGGAAGAATCACCTTTGCACAACAGACAGCAGCTTCCTCCACTCCTTTGTTTGTCTCTGGGTAGTTCTACAACCTGGGTAAGCAGAGGTATTAGTTGAAGGAAAGAAAGGTAGAAACATGATGGTCACACATGAGTCCCTTTAAGGAAAATACTTAAGCTAGTAAAGTCTAAAAGTACCAAGAACAAGTAGACAAGATCAGATTGTCCTTAAGAAGGTTCACATGTATGTGGTTTCATGTAAAAAGTACCTTCATGTACTTTGTCCCATGTGATGATACTCAGAACCACGTGTAAAGCACACAAGTCTTAGTTTCCTCACAGGTATCTAAGCGCCCAGGTGTCAAGTATACCGATGATATCAGGAGGCAAGAGCTTGTACCCCCAAAAGTCAACCAAACAACCCCTCCCAAAAAACGTGCATTGTCCTCCCTGGACATGTTCAGTGCTCATTGCATTTGTAGCACCCATTGTCCAGATGGCACCTGAAGCTCCTTGCCCACAGTAGAGCAGAGAATCAACTCCAGCATGTCTCCCATGTTGTCATTCTGTGAGTCTCTCCTTTGAGGACTATTTCCTGAGAGACTGTGTCTGGGAACTTTCCGCTTTCAGATCATAGACCTAGTACCTTATAGAAATGACAGGATGGGAAACTGGGAAGAAGATGCCCAACAGATAGGAACCTACCTTTAAATGATCTTCTCCTTCCTTTCTTAGCTGTGCTCTGCCACTATGGACATAGAAAAATGAACAAGGAATTGTAATTTTTCTGCTGTTTCTCTTCTGAAGAAACCCAGATTTCATAAACCAAGAATATTATGATACGTATTCAATGAATGAAATTTAGTCCTCCCTTGAGTTAACTTTCAGAGGTGACCAGACATTTTGTCTTCCCTTATTTGGGAAATTAAAGAAAAATTTCATCTGTAAGAGCCACATTCGTGATTATCAGTCAAAAATTTGAGGCTAGCAGCAACATCTGTACTCTCTTTGAGACTCCTTTGTCCTGTGGGACAAAGCTCAGGAGCTCCACTCAACCAGCACTACTTTCCTGATCAGCCCAACTTGGAGGGTAGCTGGGTGAATGTGCATGCAGGATGAGAATGGAGCCTGAGACTGAGCATTGGGAGAAGCTATTCTCCTTCAGAGTATCCACCTTCTAGAACTAATCCTTTGAGACTGAGAATCAGTATTTTATACCTTTTTGGTCTAGAACTCTTACCCATACCCAGAGTAGTAGACTGAAGATCTTGATGAAAACTTTAGTTCTGTTTTCCTCTTCTAGCAAGACTAATGCCCTAGAAAATCGGTGTTCTTTACTCCCTACAGTTTCCCATCTCAGGTAGGACTCTGGCAGACAGCCAAACTCATATAGTAACTCATTTGGCATTGTAGCATACCAATAAGGGATATCTTATGGGGTTCACCATACATCCTCACCTTTTTGATGTCCTGATTTTTCCAAGGTGGTGGTAAGAATGGTTTCAATATCAAATACCATAGGTATAGAAGAATAAACCCCACTCCACACAGAAAGATATAATTGGGGTCAGTATCCAAAAAAGCTGATTCAAAGTCTAACTATATTTTAATATATCTATTTACAAAAGAGATGATGTTCTCCATAGACTAAATCACATGGCTGCCTAAAGCATCTGAGTTCAGAGGTTGTATGGGACTCACCTTAGGCCCAGGTATGCATCACAGAGCAGGAGAGAGTCATAGAGGGTTTGTGAGGCCAGAGAGAAAGGTGAGCCCTCAGTTCCTCCTTCTCCTTTCTCCAAGCCACACCAGTGACCTCTGTTTGAGACTGCTCCTCCATTTTCCATTCCCCCTTACCTCACTTCATGTACCTCAGGGAACTTTCCTTTTTATTCCCTCTGTGATCTGGTTGCCAACCCAAACCTCTTTAGTTTTGGAGTACTCTTGACTTGGACTCAGTCAATTCTTCTGCCTAGAGAGTCTGATATGATACCTGGAATTGCCTTGGGACAGATATTTAGTCTCAGCAGCACAAATGTCCTCTCGCTTATACAGTAGTTCTCAACCTGTTGGTAGAGACAACTTTGGGGAGGTTCAAATGACCATTTCATGGGGGTTGCAATCAGGTATTTCTTTTCCATGCATTTACATTTGTGAATATCCCATAACAAACTCTGTTTCATTCAACCTTCAGTGTGTTTAGTCAGAGGGACTGAGTGAATCACAAAACTATCATAAATAATAAATGAATATACAAGCTAACAACTTCAAGCCTTCTGGATTTGAGGGCTATTTCATTTACTTTTCTGACGCCACAGAAGCTTTAGATGAACCAAGATTTGAATATACTTCACCCCCACCCCCCCACACACACCCCACACACTTTAGCAAGTCCCTATGGTAATTTCACATCTAAAAAGAATGAGTCTTTTTTTTTTCTGTCAGTGTCTAGTTATTGTGAAAGTTCCTCCAAGTGAACCTAAAATGGACTGTCCTAGACCATCAATTTCTAAGTGTTATGCGTTTTGCTTATAGCAAGCTTAATTGACAATGCTAATTTCTAGGTCTTTGCGCAGTATCAAAGCCTTAGTGTAGAAGCTGCAATTGAGGAAACTTAATTATTTACACATGTGAAATATGCAACTTTAATCTTCTATGAATGTATTTTGTCATGAAAACTGAGAAGACCTGCTCTGTGTAATAACCCTTACTAATATCCATAATTCTATAGTGTCTCAACAACATATTTTTATACATCTTCCAAGGTTCAAATAGTCCAAAATTCCATATTTCACATAAAACTATACTTCTTCTCTGCTTTCTGTTCCCTTGTCAGCTGTCTTCTGAATTCTGATAGTATCTCATTACTCCCTTAGTCTTGAACCCCTTCCTTTGACATTGTGACATCCCCTTCTTACTTGATCTTTTGTGATATTGTACAATCTCCAAACCAGGCAGAGTCGGTCACAGAAGCAAGTAACCTTGCCTTGAAGAAAACTATGCCTCTTTGTACCATCAGATAAATTTTCATGTACCACATACTTACATCTAGGCCTAGGATACATGTATACCTGTAATTCACAAACTACCCTTGGGCACATGATGTCCAGTCCAGATTGCTAATGCATAGGAAAAGGCTAGGGAGGCTGGCAGGGAAGAGTGGCACCCCTGTAACCTCCATGAGAAGTTCCTTCAACATAATGACTTCCTAACCTTGAAGTATTCCACGAATATCCATCCTCCCACTTACCTTTCAAGTGCTATGCCAACATACCCAGCTATCTTGGCAGTTTTTGAGGACAATTTCTTATCCTACTTCTGTCTTTCCAATGCTGTTCCTTTTGTTATTAAAGTAATAGTGGATTTTGATAGGAATAGTTTATTTTTCTTTTCTTTCTTTAGGCAATCCAAAAAGGATTATTTAGATGCCCCCAAACATTTCATTTTCAGGTTAATCTTGCTATAAACAAACAATAACATTTAGAAAGGGATTAGTTTATTGTTATTAAAATGAGACTGTCACTAACATCCTATCCTGTCTATCACTCAAATGATGTAAGCCTGATCGTAGGCAATGCTCACCCTTATCTGTGTTTCTCTGCCTTACTGTCACCTGTAGTTCCAGAGAAGTTCTCAAGGTATTTATCTTGCTATGTATTTAAGTTTTCCCAACTAATAGTGAACCTTGTAACTTGATCAGTAACATACAATTAAAACAAAGGGCTTCTAAGCATGAAACATGGACACCCATTTTCTAGGTAGGTACAAGGCAAGCTGCTTTGTATTAGCCCATTTTGTGATCAATGAGGACTCATGTGAAGAAAGTAGCAAGAGCAAAGTCCACGTATCTGAGTAAGGGGGTGTCACCTAGAAGCATATTCCTCTCCAGAACTACCTTCACCAAATAAGAGGTTCATGTTCATGGTGCAATATTTCTTTTTCATTTTATACTCAATTCCTCTGTGATACACCCCTCAGTAATCACTTCCTGGTGATCAAGATGGTTATCACTGGATGCCATATTGTTGAGTTTTCTACAGCAGAGGCAGAAAACACATCAGAAGTTGTTCCTGGATGCTCTCCATTTACTCCTGCAAGCACCTCTTGGAAACCAGTTTTTCTATAGTCCACAGAGACATACACTACTTCTAAGATTGTCAGAGTGACCTTGTGACAATCTTAGAACTCAAGAGCATTACCAACTTCTGGCACCTTTGTGTGACATCATGAAAATGGCTACTATATCCCATCTCAAATTTACTTTTTCAGACAAGAGACAGTTTTATATATTTTTATAACTTCTCTTTGCCTTGGTTTTGCTGTCTCCAAGAACTTCTTATTTCTGTGTACCTTTTTAACTTTGAGACAATTGTGTGGAATTCATCTTCTCCAAGTTCTACAGGGTCACATGCCTCAGGATACTGACTAGAAATTTGTTGCTTACAATTTCTACCAGTTTCATGCTATTGAACTCTTCTGTCTTGTACTATAAAGATTTTCATAGGGTCATTTCTGAATTCAAGAAAGGTCTTTAGTGGAGATTTAAAGCCATTTGTTATTACTCAGCTTCTCCAGGAGGGCACTTTAGTTGAGCTCTGGCTACAAAGATGACACAGCACCTAATGATGTGCCTCACCTGTAACAGATACACTTCCTACCATTGAAAACTTGGCTAAGGACATGGCAGTGTGAAGGGCTCGCTTCCAGTGGTTTCAGCTCTGAAATTGGTCCTTGGACTAAATGGATAATGATCTTCTTTCCTTCACCTTAGGCCTTCCAACCTTAAAAAAGAAGAATATTCTGACTTGTGTTTTAACCTTGATAAGCCTCACTGATATGAGTTACACAAAATAAATGAGTTGCAAAGCAACAGATACCACATAATTCCTGTATGTAAAACTCAAAGGAAGAGAGAAAACTGAAAATTAAATTCTTGTTGCCAGGGGTTGGAAGGCAAGAAATGGGGACCTATTGTTTCCTGAACAGAATTTGTTTTGTAAAATGATAAGGTTTTGGAGCTCAGTGTACAACATACGTAGTACTGATCTGTTAACTTAGAATTGAATGGTAAATTTAAAATTCTTTGTAGATGACCCATGAAAATTCTGTCTCTCTCTCTCTCTCTCTCTCTCTCTCTCTCTCTCTGTGTGTGTGTGTGTGTGTGTGTGTGTGTGGTATATGTGCACTTACGTGTGCATGCCCATACATTGAAGTCAGGCATCTTGTTCTATCACTTTTATTACTTTGAGATAGAATTTCTCATTGAACCTATTTCTAATATGGCAGCCAATTAGTCTCAATGATCCTTATGTCTCAATCACCTACAGTGTTAGGGTTGTAGGCATGTGTGCAACCACACCCAACATTTTATGTGAATACTGGGGTTTTGAACTCAGTCCTCAAGCTCAAGCAGTAAGTATTTTTACCGGTGGAGTGATCCTTCAAGTCCCATTACAGCCCATCACAGTATTTTTATGTTGGTTGGGACTACATGTCTATTTCTTTTCTATTACTATAACTCTTCAATTACTGAAGATTTATGATATCTTAAAACCAGACAATTGACATTTCCTTTTTATTGTGTATATAGTATTCTGCCTGCATGCATGTCTACAAGCCAGAAGGGAGCATCAGATCTCATTACAGATGGTTGTAAGCCACCATGTGGTTGCTGGGAATTGAATACAGGACCTTTAGAAAAGCAGACAGCGCCCTTAACCACTGAGCCATCTCTCCAGCCCAGCATTTCTTTTTTAATTCAGGGAATGTGTAACATAGATGGAAATCTAGAAGTAAAATCACTAATATTTGAAATACATTCTTAAGTAAACACAGTAAAGTACGTCTCCTAAACTGTATGTCAAGTCAAATGGTTCCATGTAGCTAAGGGCCCATTCTGTATATAAATTATACTGATAGGGGAAGTAGAATGAGATTTCCAATCTCACCTTCAAAGGATATGCTGTCTTCAATCTAAACATTAGGTTGGCACCATGTCATGCTCTTAACGTCTTCCTGAGTGGTTCGAGAATGTATTGTGTCAAGAATCAAGTTTTGATACAAGATTCAGCTCAGCCCAGTTTATTGGCATTTTGTCTTCCATTGAAACCTACCTGCTATTTTTCTTTTACTTCATTTCTCCTTCTTGAATAGGTCCATTTTCTAGGCTTTTGGGCTGAGGTATTAAGCTAACCTATACATTTGGGGCTGCAGCAGAATCTGAGATGCTATATACTATATTCTAAAAGAAATTAACAAATAAATTGTAAAATTTTCATCAAGATAAGGATAACATGAAGTCACAAAAATGTTTTCATATAAATTCAGATATTAAAGAGGAATAAATTATTGCTATTACTAATAGTAGTAATAGTAGTAATAGTACTACCTGCAAAGAAATTGATGCATAATATGTAGACTGAACACTGGTTCTGTGATATTAGGGAGTCCCACAAACTCTCTCAACTCTGTCTTTCCATTGGAGGCCCTGGCTTTTGCTAATTTAATACAAAATTATTTAATAATACTTGTTAAGCACAGAGTATGGATGATTATGTGTGAATATCACAAAAGGTATAGAGGCCACTGGAAAGGGATTTTGCACAGGTTAAATGATTTGGGAATTTAAAGACAAGGAACAGGGCGGTAAAGTCAAAGAATCAAGAAGAAACAGCAGAATATTCTGGCTAACCCAGGCCTACTAGGTTATGACCTGGATTATGGATGGAGGTAAGGTATCTGATGAGATCTTAAGCTTGACAAATCCTGAGGGTTGGGGTTCATGCTTAACTGACTAACAAGGAAATGTTGAATCACCTAGAATTTTCAGGAATCTATTATTTGGTAAGTCAAGCTATCCTTTTCAGTACCAAACAATAGTAAAAGTTGATAGCCTATAGGCAGCACTTGTATAGCTCTCTAGAGTTATTTGATGAGATTAAATTGGCTATTTTCTATTTCTGAGTTAAAAATTCATATTTTCTAAGCTAAGAAAATTTATTTATTTGAAACAGAGTGCAATAAAATAAAAATCAATTTGAATACTGACTCCACAATTAGATACTCTGATCAAATCACTTAATGTATTTGGATTTATTTTTTCTAAAAAAAAATAAGATATGAACAACAACCCCTGAATATTTTTGACAGAATCTAATCCTAAATTTATATATAAGTTTCCAATGTATTACCAGGAGAAAGTGAGGTCTTAATACTCTGCTTCTCTCTCTCTCTCTCTCTCTCTCTCTCTCTCTCTCTCTCTCTCTCTTATATTTTTAAAAAAGAAAATAAACTATCTTTTTTCATTT